AGCAAAAAGTTATGTCTATTTTACTAGACAGTGCGCAATATGCCTCCTCAAGTCTTCGTTCGTACTTAATTATCAAATTTGACCTCCGAACACGATCCCGGCTTAATTCCTTGAGCTTTTACTCAGACTTCAAAGCTTCAAATCACTTAAATTCATTCCATAACATCTATATAGCTCGGAATCACACCTACAAGGCATAAAACACACAATTAGTGCAAAACACTAGCGATTAAAGCGCAAACTCAATTAAAGTGCAGTAAATTCGAGTGTAATAAGCGACTGAAATATGCAATTATAGCCTATCATCAACACCCCACACTTAAACCATTGCTCGTCCTCGAGCAATCAAACTCCACTTTTTTTATAGACACGACCTTTTTAAACAATTCTCCTAACTCATCACACCAAGAGTATTTAAAATAGACTAAGCACAAAAGCGTACCATCTTCACCTCAAGATTTGACTCACAAGTACCACACGTTATTCACAACTCACCCACTTACTCTAATNCCTAACCAAACACACACACTAACTCAACAATATCCTACGAGCTTAACCGTGCGATCAAATCGCCAAAATAACATCATATACATAGAATCAAGCCTCAAATCACATGGTTTTCTTCTAAGTTTCATAAACTTTCAAATTTGGAACCTATAGTCCGAAACACGTCAAATGACATCCGATTTCGACCAAATTTCACAGGAAGCGCTTAAACCACATATAAGACCTGTACCGGGCGCCAGAACCAAAATACGGGCCCGATACCAACACTTTCTAATCCATTTTCATTTCAAATTTCCATATAAATTTCAGAAAAATAATTTCTTTTAAAAAATTTATTTCTCGGGCTCGGGACCTCGGATTTCGATTCCGGGCATACGCCCGAGTCCGATATTTTCCTAAGGACCCTCCGGGGCCGTCCAATCACGGGTCCGGGTCCGTTTACCCAAAATATTGACCAAAGTCAACTTTAATCATATTAATATCAAAATTCATCAATTTTTACACAAAATTCATATTTAAGCTTTCCGGCTACGAGCCCGGACTGCGCACGCAAATCGAGGCAAGTAAAAATGAGGTTTTCAAGACCTCGGGAGCACGGAATGAAAGAGAAACAGGTGATGACCCTTTGGGTCGTCACAACATTACATATATAAAAATTTTAGATATATTTAATATATAAATATACTTATTGTGATGTAATTTATAAATATTTCTTTAAAAATTTCATAATTTTATCTTTTAAGGTATTATTTCAAGGTTGGACTTAGAACTTTTGAATGTTTCAATAAGTTTTATAGCCATTAACATTAGTAAAGCAAATAATGCTAACAAAAGCCTAAACCAAAATCAAATCAATACTAATGCTAACAAAAGACATTCAATTCAATACTATGAACGGGAATGTATTGAATATCTATATTTTGTTTTGCAATAATTTAGATAAAAATGCATAACTTATTTTTATTTTTTCTTTAGTATTTAGTCATGTAATTAATACTCCCTTATTAGTCTACTTATTTTAGTTATCATGACTTAGTACTTTTAGCTTATGTTTATTTTTATTGTGGCTTTTTAATTAGCAATATTTATATTACGTAATTTTATTGTCTTTATTGTTGAATATTTTAGGATAATGCTATGACACATCTCATATTTTGTATTATTTTCTTGGAAAATACTTTATATAGTTGTATCTTACTAGGATTAAAGAAATATTTTGAGCACAATTTATATGTTTTGTTCTACGAAGATTTTACCGGAAAAAACCCCGAAAAACCCGAGGAAAACCGAGAGTGAAAAACCCGAGTTTCATTGGTTTGGTTTGGTCTTTAGATTTAATAATCCGACACAATTGGTTTGGTTTGGTAATTGTAAAATCCGAACCAACCCGACATATGTACACCCCTACCTCTCAATATAGATTACCTGTGATCGATCTTCCCTCAATGCCTCTGGGTCGAGCCTGTCGCACAGGGCTTGCCTAGTGCGGTTTACATCCCCTGTGTAGTTTGCAGGCTATTACACAATGGGGGGTTTACCCAATGTGCATATAGTGCTCACCCGAAGGGCAGAGGCTATGGCAGAGACTATAGCAGCTACGGATTTTCCTGGAAGTTTCCAAAAGAATTAGAAGCCATGGGTCTCATATATATGGTACAAACGATATATTTGGTTTCCATATACAAGTAGATCTCCTATACATTTTAGCTTTCTTTATAAAGAGAGATATCTTAAGAGAATCCTCTATCACGCCCCCTCAGTCTGTAGGAGTAGATAGAGGCGGATCCAGAATTTTAAGCTTATGGGTTTCTATAACAATCTTAAGTTAATTTATATAATAACTGGACCAACGAAGTGGATTCCAAGCTAAATATTATGAATTTTTTAGTATAAATACAGGGTTTATGCAAAAGTTATTGGGTTCACAGGAACCCGTAACCTTTGCTCTAGATCCACCACTGGGGCAGATGCACAGACCGATTGCTTTTAAGAAACACAAACCGAGGCGCCAACAATAATTTTGTAAGAATGTCTGCAAGCTGAAGTTAATTTTCTAGTTCCTAATAATTCAAAGAATAATAACGCTAATAATATAATGTTATTGGTAAAAAACCTAAAACTAGATAGTAAGTAATAAATTACAAATACTGATTATATAATACAAATAGCTATGAATCTTCAAAACAATATCTAAACTAGACCGATACCAAAAAAAATAATCTAAAATCAAAAACCAACTTGATAAGAATAAACTAAAGAAAAAAAAAAAAAAAAAAAAAAAAAAACTGAAGCATATATAAAGAAAACAATGCAAGTGCGGAAGTGAGTACGAATTGGAGGACAAAACTCTTTGCTTTGTAATTTGCACTTTGCAGGCAAAGAACTAAAGTGTATTCATTACTTAGTAAAAAAATATGAAAATATGATAAAGAATTAGAAACAACCTTTGACTTTTGATATTTTAGGTTGAGAATATACTATGAGTTAACTTTTGAATATTTAATTAAGTTTTTAAAAAAGAATTTACTAAGCAATTTTTACTCAAAAGTCTCGGGGTTTATGCCCCCAATGAACGCCCAAATCGTTGGGGCTTATGTCTAACGATACTTTGCCCTGCCAATACGTCTCGGTGTGTCGAGCCTCGGTGCTCGTATTTGAAACGCCTTTTAAAATACTAATTAACCATAATCAAAATTTAAATTAATAGGAGATTGTCAAACATGTGAGTGTATCAAATATAACTATGTACTTAAATAATGCTCCACATCATTAAAAGGAAGTCGACGAGTATACCAGATGTTACTATTATCGTTAAAAATTAAACGTTAACTAGGCCTTTGTAAAATAGCAAGAGATGTTGACGGTTGAGGCGACTAAAAGTAGCATATATAGGAATTAAACCAGCCTCATATAGCAAGAGTTCAACATTTGTAAAATTGATATATATGCTTAATTAAGTGCTCTTTTAAAAATTAATTAAGGAAAAAAAGGTTTGATATTTTGCCTAAGATTTATCATGTATTGTAATTTTATTTCGTTATGGATCATATTATAATGTTTTGAACATTGAAAAGTGCCGTTTGAGATGGAATTGTGTCTCCTACCAAAAAAAGAAAGAAAAACAAGAACAATTTGTGTTCAAGAAATAACAATAATACCTTTTTGTCCATTTACGTAGGAGTATTAATTAACAAGAGGAGAAATAAGAGTAAAAATGACTGGTTATTTAAATCACAGTATATGCGGAAATAGTCCTTGTCTGGAAAGTTGTAAATGTCCTCTTTTTATTTTTCTTATAACTTATGAACCTTTTAAACCACTATTAAAGATCTCTTTGAACAAACTGAAAATCTTATGAAAAAACATAAGATCAAGTCTAAGATTTTATAAATTATTGAAAACGTTAGACCATAGTCTAATATTTTATCTACAAGGTTGGGCAAAATGAAATTAAATGAGCAAAATCGACTAAAGTCTAACGTTGTCCTCAAAGGATAATTTGGCAAAAGCTATATTTGCATAACTTTTAGAAGTAGGGACAAAATTAAAATGGTGCCTTAAAAAGAGAATTTGCATAATCAAGGATTTGCATTTATACCCAATTTTAAAGTCATTATTGAAGTTATACCTGTATTGCATAAAATTTTGTAAGTGTATCCACTTTAGAATCAATTTTAAACTTAGCGAGTGTGAAGCTGAAAATTCGCGTGTGAAGTTGCAAATGTAAGATGCAGTTTCTGCTTTTTAGTCTGAAGTAAGTCTGAAGTACGGCTAATATTTGCATGCACTTAAGATTTTTTAGTCAAAAGTGCAAAATTACACTTAAAGTACACTTAAGGCTTTTTATTCTGAAGTGCGCTAGTATTTGCATGACAAGAGGGGTTGCTCTGATGGTAAGCAACCCCCACTTCCAACGGAGAGGTTGTGAATTCAAGTCTGTCCAAGAGCAAGGTGGGAAATTCTTGAAGGGAAGAATGCCGGGGGTCTATTTGGAAACAGCCTCTCTACCCAAGGGTAGGGGTAAGGTCTGCGTTATATAACTTTCAAATATCACGAAGAACAAACATCAATCATCAATTTTTAAAACAACAACTAATCTAACAAATCTATTTGGCCCAACATGATTAATTTGGTATGCAAATCTACCTAAAGTAAAGGGTAGTGTCTTAATTGTCATTGCATTAGAGGTGTATATACAAAAGGTATTTATGTACCATTACTTTAATTATATTTGTACAAAGTAGAGTTCAAAACACAAATATATCTTCTAACCTTAATCCAAGTAAGTTCCAATCATTTGAAATCTCAAATTCAATGTGATGTCAACCTTAGAGGATGGAAAGAGTTGAACTGTTTCTTTATTACCAACAACCATAAATTACAAAGCCTTGCTTCAAACAATCAAAGGGCATGGAATTTGCTTGTTTGAAAAACTGAGAAAGACAGTAGATTTACAAAATTGAAACAGAGAGCTTCGACTGAAAAAGAAATCAACACATTAACATAGTAAATTTACCTTATTACTCTAAAAATAAACCACTGTGATAACATATACAACAAAATGACTGGAGTAAAACTACTACTAACTATTACGTAAAGCACTAATTAATTCTACCATCCTATGCTCTTCACAAACATCTTTTAACCACAGAGCTAGCAAAATAATACACTTAAATTCAAGTAATGATAGCTGGGAAAAAAAACTTAAATAATGATACATACTTCCGATTATCTCAATGCAATTTACCCACCATACACATGCTGGTACGATGTACCAGATTCTTTGTACATTCCCTGCTTGACCAGCATAGTAGCAATTCCTTTGAAAAATGTATTATGCATTTCATTATCTGTATCTTTGCCAAGAAAAGGACAAAGTAAAATCAGTCTAATTCTTAACCAGATTATAAAAAGATATGGAATTAGTTTGAGATTTTGGATAATTCACGTCCTAATGATGTAGGAAGGAGGCTATAAATTAAAATTATTTACCTTCTTGAAGATATATAAAGGATCTTGGAGTCTCAGATATAGTCTCAACTATAAAAATTAAGAAATAAGCACCACCCAAATTTTTCGCTTTTTTAACTTAATTCAATTCTTTCCTCATTTCAGAAATCACGCAACATCTTACGTGCTAAGCTTTTTTCTCTTCTTTAATAAAAAAATATTAGAGATGAATGGAAGGGGAAGCAAAGATATGCAGTAATATATTCTGAAGCTATTTATAGAAACATAAATCCTATGGTGAGTGATTAAAAAAGAAAAGGCAATTGGAAATTCCCATTTTTATATTTCTTTAACTTCATACTTCGTTGTACCGATAGTCGAATGTTTTAAAAGGTACCTTAGATATTTCTTGACTTCTTATCTTGATAATGATGTTGCATATATGTATCACAAAAGATTGAATAGAGACTCAGTTGAGCAGATGTTGAACCAAATGAGGAGAAGAACTCTATGGTGTCTGTAGAGCAAACTGGATTAGGATCTGACTTTAGCCTATCAGAACACAAACCTATGAGTCAAAAAAAAACTTGCTTTAAGTTTCAGGAAGATTTTGAAAAGGAAGTTAAGACATTAGGAACTAAGAACTTGCCATTTTTTAATATTATGAACTAAGAACTTCTCAACCAATAGGTTAGAAAAACACTTAAATGGACATTTGGCATCAAAAGGTAATTGGAGTACAACTCCATTTTAGGTAAAAGCTCATATAATAGTAAGAAACCGGCAAACCTTTTTTATGGATAGGTCTTCTCGGCTATATTTTTCTTTCTTTCAGCTATTTCTTGATCTCTCAACCCTGGTATCAAGCTTATTCTGCAATCAAAATAATTTAACTGATAACAAATTGATATTTTATTAAATCAGTAGGGTAAAAGGCATGTCATTTTATTTTCTCCTTTCAATTTCCAATCATTCATTATATGCAAAAATATTTGTTAGCCAAGACGCATTTGTTGCGTACGTTATAGACATATTATTGAATAGTATTCTATGTTCTACCAAAAATCTGCTACACGTTAATTTTGCCAATCTATTCAATTATGTCCATCTTCTCAGCGTCATATTATGAGAACTATAAGACATATTAATTGTTTTCAATTAATTCTTCAAACAACACCCAATTCAGAAAAAATAAAGTCATTTTTAATTTTCTTGAAAGGAGAAAGTTCGACAAATAACGCCAATTTTTTTCATTTGATAAGTGATAAACTGAGGCAATATTTTAACAGAAATACGCATGCCCCACAAATATTGCTTATCAATACTATCCAATAGAAGCAAATTATGTTATAGAACATCAGTCAAACGAAAAAAACAATAAACTATCATTTAGTTTTCTTGGGCATATCATCAAACACTTGGGGTGCATCGAATATCTCAAATAATAAGATCCAAAAAGAATGTAATGGATACTATTATAGTTCATATTTTGTCAATAAGTCATTTCTAATCAAGTCGTTAAATTGGTAAATCATTTATCTTGCTCTTACTTGCTCCAATACTTACAATCTTAGAGCTTCCAAGGCTTTTGAACAGTGAACACTACCATAATTACTACAACTAAAAACTTAAAGCAAAGGAGAAGAAGGGAGCCTGACTTATAATATTTAGAACACAAACAACTGTAATGTTCATATGTTAATCAATATTTAGGGGAAAAATAGGAAAAACCAGAAGGAATAAAGTGAATATAAATTCGGAAAGATTAACAGAAAAATGGAGAAGTAAAATACCCAAATATTGAAGAGGGAAAAAGAGGATTATGTTTGATTGCCCCAAAAAAAAAAGATTTGTATTCATCAAATATCCGAAATTATGCATGACTATATCTTATTTCAAACATGTATCCGCAAATGAAACAAAGTTACATACATGCATATAGAGAATTCAAAAAATAAAATGAAAAAACTATACAAAAAAGGAGAACTAACAGAGAATCAACTGAATATATAATTAAATAGAGATATGGATGGTACACGTGTTTGTTACTGAATTGCACAAAACACGTGTCTATAAGAAAAAGTTGACACCTGGCGTTATACCCTTCTCTTTCCTCCTTAACCCCCTGCCCTTTCACACTTTTCAATATAGCAACTTCTTTTATTTTTTATATTTTATTTGTTATGCTATATATATACCTCAATAAATACCTTCTTGCCTACACTCGTTTATCCACTACCTTTTCAGGTAACATTACTTCTTCTTTAAATATCAAAATATGGAGTAGTAATTACTTTGGGCCAAGTTCTCACTGAATTCCTTTAAAATGCCTCATACTACTATCACTCTAGTTTTTACTTGTATGAAGTTAACTAAAAGCAAGTGGCAACAAAAAATCAAGAACAAAATGGTGATGATATTCATAGCTACGTCCAGATTTAACTATTTATAATCATACCTATGTTGACCAGCAGACCATTTTTTCACTGTTTTTTCCCCTTCTGATAGTGTTTCTAGTCCTGAAAATTAAATAATCTTTCATTCTTTTTCACCTACATAATTTAAATTTCATTATCGAATAACCAAACGTCGTCCTCTCAGAATATGAGACGTGGGATTCCTCTTTTCGTTCTCAAAAGTGTATAGAAGTGCAAATTGAGAACCTTTAGTGAGAAGGATCTTATTATCATTAGTGACCGACCAGTGTGGATGAGAATTGGTAAGATTAGTGAACTTCCAGTACGAATATATAATTACATTGAAAAATAAAAATTGAATAATTTGTATAATAACATATTATTTAAAACTTAGTGATTGAAGTCAAATGCATTAATAGTATAAACGATTTTTATATTGCTAAAATAGTTTAACATAATGAAAAGAAAACCATAAAGCTCAACATATGCAGTATATTTTCTAAGTATATATAATTGTTAACCGTTAAGAAAAAGAGCTACATACTATTAGTGCATATATAATTGTTAACCGTTAAGAAAAACTACATACTATTAGTGTAGTTAATAATTGTAGCTTATAACTATATTTGGATTGTAAATTATGTTTTAATATTAAAGGAAAGGCCAGTGTAGTAACCTCTCGTGTGAATATACATTGTGTGTAAAATTCTTTCTATTATCAAATGTGAGAGTAGTGTAGAAATGGCAAGATATTTGGCTCAATAAACCCAAACCTGGATTGCAGGTAAACAGTGAGATAAAGAAAAAGTGTATGAGACAGAGAAGAGAGAGAGAGAGAGGAGAGTATGTACTGCTGTTAGTCTTAAATTGAGGTTAGCTCTGATATAGCGCCAAGAATTATGGCGTTATACCAGTCCGTGTCAGCTTTTGCAGTATAGCGCCACAATACCTGACGCTATACATTAACAGTGCAGTTACCGTTAATGTATAGCGCCAGGTATTGTGGCACTATACATAAAAATGTTTTCTTCTCTTTTTTCCACCTATTTATGTTCTTTAGTCCAAAAAAATCACAATTGGGTTCTGGACTCCAAAAGGCATACCAATAAAATGGATCTAAGTTTATAGAAGTATAAAGTATATTGTCTTTTTTTGTATAACTATTCAGTGTTCGTCCCATATTCGTCCCACCCAACTGCCACTTCTAAAATATAGTAAAGTAAAACGGGTTAAGGGGTTGCAAGAAATGCCACGTGTATTGTCTAATATGGAAGGTTTAGTGTAGAAATAATATCTTTAATTCTTAGCTGGAATAATAAAAAAGAGCGACACGTGGATGGCTAAGATGGGAGCTAGTAGCAGTTACTTATCCAACGGCCAGATTAGCTCAATCCAGTTGTAACGAACCGGTACCAATTTCTGTTACACAATTTTGGACCGGTAATTCATTTCCTCTAACAGACCAACCCATTTCCATTTCAGTTAATTGATCGAGCAGGTGGAATTATTCCATTTTAATTCTTACTCCATGAATCAATAATATTTATCCATTTGTTCTGAATTTCGATTTTGTTCCATAAAACTATGCACATAATACTTGGACTTTAAAAACAATGTACAATAATTGGTGGACCTTTACAGCTTGTTTGGATGGTTATTACATGTTATATTATATTGTATTGTAATTTTAAATACAATATTTGTTTTGATTTTTACTTAAATTTTATTGTAACGTATAATTAGATTCGTCGTTACATAACGACAAAAAATGTCACTTTATGGAACGACCCATTTGGTGTGGTCGCGTCGTTACCTGATTTTTTCTTCTCATCTTGCCCTTCCTTATTATTAAATAATCCTATTTTATCCTTTGCCTAACTTTTTATATAATAACTAGTAGTCGTACCTGCGCAATGCGCGGTAAATATTAAAAAAAATATTAATTAAATTAAATTATGATCGAGCTTGTTTGATCCTATTAGACCGTATTGCTTTAATAAATTTAAATTGTCATCTTATTATCAATACGATATACCCAATAATAAAATCTCTATTAAATTAAAGATATTTATATAGTCAGTGAATACGTTATCCATTGTTTATTATTATTATATTGTTAATAGAAATTTTTATTAGTATATTACTTTGTTTACTCCAGACCCCACAATGTGGGATATTACTGGGTATGTTAAGGAGTGTATATTACTTTGTTTACTACTTTTGTCTGCTCACTTTCTTTTTCTAATATAAGAGAAGATATATAATTTATTACTGTTGAAATATTTTTTTATTTTGAAGTTTATTCTGTTATTCTTAATAATATTATCTAAATTTTAATGAATAAAATCTCTATTAAACTAAAGGGACTTATACAGGCAGCGAATAACTTTTTTATTTTTTATTTTTCTTTATTATATCATCCAATATTTAGTATTATTACATTGTTAATAGAAATTTTTATTAGCATATTATTTTATTTAATATTTTTCTCTGCTACTTTATTTTTGTAATATAATAGAAGATATATATTTTACTACTCTTCAAATAATTTTTATTTTAAATTTTATTCTATTGTGCTCAATAATATTGTCTGAATTTTAATTAACAAATTCTCGATTAAATTAAAGGGACTTATGTAGTCATGGAATAACTTTTTTTTTATGTATTCTTTATTATATCACCCATGTTTGAGTAGTTAATATTAGGTAGTTAATTTCGTTCTGTCTTTTTTATCATATTTTTTGTAAATAATTTTTGAATCTCCAAATTTGTTGGAGCTTTGTCCTAAAATTTGTCACTTTGTTATTTTTTTGATGTTACATTTTGAGTTATCATAATGATTCGCTTCTCCAATTCTATATAAATAGAATAGATATTGTCTGAATTTTAATGAATAAAATCTCTATTAAATTAAAGGGACCTATATAGTCATCAAATAACTTTTTTATTATGTATTGCTATTTATTATATTATCCAATATTTAGTATAATTGTATTGTTAATAAAATTATTAGCATATTACTTCTTTAATATTTTTGTGTGCTAATTTTTTTGTAACATAATAGAAAGATATATATTTTATTACTCTTAAAATTTTTTTTAATTTAAAATTTATTATATTTATCTCAATAATATTTAATTTTAATGAATAAATACACTTTTTATCTCGAAAAAGAAAAACGAAAATGATTTAACAAAATAAAATAAAGAAATTAACTAACCCTAACCAATGCTCGCCCATGTTTGAGTAGTTAATTTAGGTAGTTAATTTTTTTTGTTAATTTTTAATAAATACTTTTTTTAAAACTAATTGTGCCATGTGGTTTTTTTTTTCTTATTGCTTTGTTTTTGTTTTCTTTATTTTAAAATAATTTTAAAACTCCAACTTGAAACTACTCCCCAATTTGAATTGGTAATTTTTTTTTTTATTTTAAAATTATTTTAAAATTCCAACTTGAAACTACTCCCCAATTTGAATGGGTAGTTTTTCTTCTTTTTTTTTTTCATTTCTTTATTATAGCTAATTGTTTTTATTTTAAAATAATTTTAAAACTCCAACTTGAAACTACTCCCACCCAATTTGAATGGGTAGTTATTTTTATATATATATTTGTATTTTCATTTTTTTATTATAACTAATTATAAGATCTATATTTATTAATTCAAATAAAGTAACCAATTATATATATATAGATGGTAGTTTTTTATTTTTTATTATTTTTGTTTTTTATAAATATTAAAATTCAAAAATAATAACTAATTATTAACTAAATAACTAATTAGTAACTAATTATGTCATGTGGCTTTTTTTTAGGATGTCACTTGGCTTAAGGAGAGGGTTTTGTCCTCTCCTTTTAATAATATATAGAATAGAATATAGATATAGATATTAAAACTCCAATTTTAAACTACTTCCCGACTTGAATGGGTAGTTTTTCTTCTTTTTTTTCGTTTCTTTATTATAGCTAATTTTTTTATTTTAAAATAATTTTAAAACTCCAACTTGAAACTACTCCTACCCAATTTGAATGGATAGTTATTTTTATATATATTTATATTTTCGTTTTTATTATTATAACTAATTATAAGATTTGTATTTATTAATTCAAATAAAGTAACCAATTATATATGTGTGTGTGTGTGTGTGTGTGTGTGTGTGTGTGTGTGTGTGGTAGTTTTTTATTTTTTATTTTTTTCGTTTTTTATAAATATTTAAATTCAAAAATAATAACTATTTATTAACTAAATAACTAATTAGTAACTAATTATGCCATGTGGCTTTTTTTTTATGTTGCCACTTGGCTTAAGGAGAGGGCTTTATCCTCTCCTTCTAATAATATATAGATTCTACCTTGTACCTTATTTTTTAAAATTAAATTGCAAGTTTATTCTTCACATTATTGATGCATGACATCACGAAATGATGACAAACAATACAGTCTATCCAAATATTATATACATCATAATGATACGATATAATACAATAGATTATGAAACCATACATAACAACCATCCAAACAAGCTATTACTTGACACAAGTTGTATCATAC